AAACCCTAAACCCTAAACCACGGCATCCCTAGGTCTCTCGACGCATAGGTGCGCATGTTGCGAATGATCCGCTTCCTTGGAAGATGCTTTACATCGCTTGAGTGGCCCTGTACCAAGGCAGAGGGCCCAGCTGATGAAGGGGGGTGCCCGACTGCTTGACTTAAGGAGAGCCCAATACCCCTTAATTAAGGAATATGCCTTTAAATTATAGGGGCCTCAATATTAGGATTTAAGGTCTATTCCTTAATTAAGGGGTATTGGGCTCTCTGGGAGTGTGACATGCAAGACAGGGATGGTTGCGCTCGCGTGGCAGGTGTTATATTATGTGTATGCAGAGGGGGCTTGTGAGCATCTGGCGTTTCTTGGGCCCGACTTCCAAAAAATTGCAGGCAAACGTAGGGTACACCCGACCAGGCCCATCAAGCCTGAAACCAGACGGCCTTTTGCAACAAACGTGTATCTTCCCAAACCCCCAAAAGGATCTAAAAAATAGATCCCCTAAGGGGGTTACTATAAAGTACCCTTTAGTAGTGAGGGTCCCCAATTAGGGGATCTATTTTTTAGATCCTTTTGGGGGTCTGGGTTGGAAGCGAAGCCAGGCGAAGTGCAGCGAAGAAGCCCAAGGTGCCTTGTGGGCACTCGCGGCAGGAGTTGAGTAGCCGTTAGGAGCCAGGGTTGCTTCTGGAGGGTTTAGGGTTTAGGATTTAGGGTTCCTTACAAAGGAGCAAGATGGCAGGAGGTTATGCCCTGAAGCAATGCAGGTCATGCAGGTCCTCAGCTGTAAATCCTGCATCCGAAACCTTGAACACGAAATGCTCAAAGACCCCGAGAATTCCCAAGCTTAGAGTCCCAAATCTGAACCTCGCGAAGGCCATAGCCGCAGTTTCCTCTTTCGGCTCCCTCCCCTTGCGATTCTCGGAAGGTGAGGGCTTCCGAAAACAGGGGACCCTCATACAGTACCCTAAATAGTAGGATCCTTATTATAAGGACCCCTAAATAAGGTACCCCTAATTTTCGGAAACTCCCAGGTGGCTCGTGATGCCGCAACTCCAGCAGCTCTAGCAGGCAGCCAGCTGCTAAGAATCCATGAGACGAGTCCCCGTCGCTAGTGAGCTCGGGTTTTGGGCTTAGGGTTCAGGAACCCTAAACCCTAAACCCTAAACCCTGCTAAGAATGGGTGACTGGAGAGTCTCCAGGGTCTCCTGGGGGGGTGCCGGCTTCCATGCTTTCGGAAGACTACTTGACTTTGCCTGGGTGCTCTCGGAAGACCAGCTTTTCTCACGTGAGAGTCTGAGAGAATATGGGACCCACATCCAGACCCTGAGCAGTCTTGAAGTATCCTTATGTTGAGGACCCCTACAAAAAGGCACCCTGGTTCGTTCAGGAGCCCATAACATATCCTGCCCCATCTGGGATGGTAGGGAATCTGGTTTCAAATTCTAGCTTCTAGCAGTTTACAAGAGTCAGGCTTGCTTGTAGCAGTTCCGGTATTTAGAGGCCATGTCGTATCCAAGAAGTCGGAAGGGCTCGGGAAAAAAGGCAGGCCGCAAGTACATGGTCCTTCTGTCGAGAATCTTCCTTCGGCGACAGTCTTTGCTATCATCTTTCCTTGACACCAACCCAGAGACTCCAGGAATATACCTTAAATCATATTAGGGATCCTACTATAATTTAAGGTATATGCCTTAATTAAGGGGTATTGGAGTCCCTGGGAATCTAGAAGATGGTTGCTTTGCGTCAAGAGAACGCCCACGGCTTGTCCGAATCTCCCAGATGTGGTTGAACCCTAAGATCCGGACTTCCGTGGAGTCTGTAGCCCATGATCCATCTGAAGGTCTAAGAGAGCCCAAGCCCCGAAACGATGATTCCTGAAGCTGGTGAATCCTACACTCTGGCAGACTTACGCCGGAAGTTTTGCCGGCAGGTAAGAAGCAAGAAGAGCAAGAAGAGGACCAGCACCTGCAATTTTTCTTGCGATTTCAGATCTGGTCTGTTCTCTTTGTTGATCCTCTGCTGTGGGCTTCGACCCTAAACCCTAAACCCTAAACCCTGAACCCTAAACCCTCTTTTCAGGTCCCCTGCAGGGTTGGGTTAGGGAGTGAGACTTCGCTCCAGGACCCTAGCGCCCCAAGGCTCCGAAGACTCTAAGCCCTTGTGTCAAACCCGTTACCCAGGGACTCCAATACCCCTCAATTAAGGAATATACCTTAAATTATAGCAGGATCCCTAATATGATATAAGGTATATTCCTTAACTAAGGGGTATTGGAGTCTCTGGGTACGCAACTCTTCAAGGAAACGCGCCCTAAATAACCTGTCTGGTGCTTAGTAGGGAATGGGGGAATGGGTTATAGGGACTACCATAAGGGACCTTAAGGGACCATCATAGGGATCCATTCCCCCATTCCCTACTAAGCACCAGACAGTAACAGGACGAGGATGCACCGCTCTTCTCCGACGTCGAGGAGTTGGAGGGCGAAGAGGAGGCAGCGACCTGCCTTGCGTCTTGTGCCGGCGATGTCATGTTTAGGGTTTCGGGTTTCGGGGGCTGCAGCTTGCTCATGAGGGGGTTAACCTAGGGCGTTTATGGCCGACGCTTTAGCTGAAATGTTTCTGGCGTGCCACCTTGTCTTTCGGGTTTAGGGCGCTGTACTTGCAGAGCACCCTCCTCATGATAGCAGCTTCGTGTTTTTCCCTACTGTTGATGATATAGATCCTGCATTGCTTTAAGGGCCCTAAACTATGGGAATTATGGAATATTCCTTATTATGGGTATTGCAGGATCTATATCAGATAGTAACCGGGCACCCCCCCAAGTTAAGCCGGCCAGGTGTCAGAGACCTCCGATGAAGGCAGGGCCTCCCGACCGTCGGGATTGAGTTGAGGCTCGAGGTTTAGGGTACAGGGAACCCTAAACCCTAACGCCTAAACCCCTAAACCATCCTAAACCCTAAACCCTTAACCCCTGAGGGCTGTTCGGGTTGCGGGCTTCGGTAGGGTTTCAGGTTTAGGGTTTAGGGTTCAGGGTTCAGGGTTTAGGGTTTAGGGTTTAGGGTTTAGGGTTTAGGGTTTAGGGTTTCAGGTTGAGGCTTCGGACACTCTAAGCTTGAGAGCAGCTTGAGGGGTCACGCTTGGGATTCCGAGGTCCTGAATTTCGATGTCGAGTCCCCAGAGAACCCAATACCCCTTAATTAAGAAATTTTAGGGGCCTTAATATTAGGATTTAAGGTGTATTCCTTAACTAAGAGCTATTGGGTTCTTTGGGTCTTAACCAGCTCCCAACCCTTGAGTCCGAGTGGAGAGTTCAGAGGCTGTTTAAGGTGCACAAGTTTGGGGCATTGCGGGGTCATGGCCCTGCCTGCAAAAGCGACCTTCTCCTGCTGCAGACGTCGATGAGGAGGATGACGAAGAGGCAGGGCCCGGGATAGCGGCGATCATCTGTTTACTGGTCTCGTCATCACGATGGAGAGGTTGCGGTGGCCAGAGGTGCTGTTGTCATAATGCCTTATGCGTTCCTGATAGAATCACCCTGTTTGTTAAGTCCCTGGAAGGTTGGACGGTTGGTGTAAGATATACTGACAAGTAGCCGCGCTTGAAGCATCTTCTTTGCGACAGAAGCATATGGTGAATATGAATGCATCCTAGACCCCAAACCCAGCCAATGGCATCTAGATCCCAAGCAATGTCGAGCGACCGGATTTTTTTTGTTGGGTGGTTTTGGGTTTGGGGTTTTTGGTGTTTTGGTCTGTTTTGTGAAGTTTAGGGTCCAGGGTTCGGGACCCTAAACCCTAAACCCTAAACCTAAACCCTAAACCCTAAACCATGTTGCAGTAAGGGATGCGGAGTTTCAGGCGCAGGATCCGGAGCAGCACGAGTAGCCTTGCAACGTAGAGGTCCCCAACTTTTAGGCCTGGACTTCTCAATTGCAAGCACCACAAAGACGAAAGGGTTTAGGGTTTAGGGTTTAGGGTTTTAGGGTTTAGGTTTAGGTTTAGGGTTTAGGGTTTAGGGTGCAAAACATGCAACGCTGAAACCTTCGAACCTCAAGAGAGTGCTTCGCACACTTGGCCTTTGAATCCTAGAGCCTCCTTCCGAAATCGAAAACCCTACAACCGAAGCCCTGCAGTGCTAAACCCAGAGACTCCTAAACCCCGGTTTTTAAGGAATATACTTTAAATCATATCAAGGATCCTACTATAATTTAAGGTATATTCCTTAATTAAGGGGTATTGGAGTCTCTGGGAACCCTACGCCTCGAAGCCCTTGCCGGCTGAGCTCAAGGAAAGGAAGCGTGAACGAATGAACGCAAAGCGCTACACCCAAGTCCTGAAGTCCTGAACCCACCATGCCCAGGACCCCCAAAACCCATAAGCCTTGAGACAAGACCCAAGTCTATAAACGCATCATACAACCAAACGGACCTTGTAAATCCCTTGATATGGACATGAAACAGTAGGATGCTTACTTAGTCTAAGGAGCCGCAAGCAGAGGCCACCGAATTAATCCTACACCCTGAAACCCGAAGCCCCAAACCCCCACCCTAAACCCGAAAGCCCCCATAGAACTTGTGCAGCAATTTTATACTGTTGCTAACCCGTATAAGAACCCTTGTAGAACCTTGCTGGAGCCCTGCCTCAAACCCTAAGACCCTCGTGGCACCCCTTATACTAACCTTTCTGGGAAGCCGTATCGTGGCCGTCTTGAACTCTTAGAACGAAACCTTTGTAGAAAGCTACACTTTAACTTGTCAACCCTAAAACCCAAACCCTAAACCCTAAACCGTTGCCACTTCAGTTTGATTGGGAGCCGGTCGGCGCTTTGGAAATGCCCAAGGCAGGGCTGTGTTCTTCAGGGGTTTATGGTTCGGGCTCTTTTTAACGGGTTGCACAGGGTTGTATATGGTCTTATGGGGTTTTGATTGGGTGTTATGGGTTTCTGTAATCTTTTGTGCAGGGGTTTATAGGTATTCATGAGGCTCTACTTGGTGTAGCTTTGAGGGTTACAAAAGGGTTTTATGGGTATTTTGCCTTGCTTTAGAGTGTCCTGGGCGGGTTGGTATGATACGGTTGATGATACAAGTCCTGCAATGCCCAGAATAAGGAATATACCATAATTCCCATAGTTTAGGCTCCTGAAGGTAATGCAGGATCTATATCATCAACAGTATGTTTTCGCGGACTCTCTGAATCTTGGGATTTCTCAGGCTTGGCAAGGCTGAAGACGCCTTCGGGCAAGTTTAGGGGCCGTTTTTCAGGGCGTCCAGGGCGGGTGACATCTTAGATCTAATTTAAGATGGCGTTTAAGCTTCTTGTTACAAAGTACACTCAAAGCCGTAAGCCCTCTATCCTAAATCTGCACCCGCAAACCCTAAGCCCTAAATCCCTGAACCCTAGGTAGATTCCCGAGCTGGTACTCTAGCAGATGGAAAAGGCCCTTCAAAAGAAATCCTGAACCCGTAAACCCCCTAAGCCCTAAACCCTGAACCCTAAACCCGCTAAGCCAAACCCCCTAAGCCCGAAACCCTGAACCCTAAACCCACTAAGCCCGAAACCCTGAACCCTAAACCCCTAAGCCCTAAACCCTAAACCCTAAACCCCCTAAGCCCGAAACCCAAAAAATAGAACCCTAAACCCTCATAAAGGCACAGTTACCGGGTAGGAGAAAACTAGAACCCTAAACCCTGAGCCCTAAACCCTAAACCTCCTAAGCCCTGAACCCTAAACCCTAAACCCTAAACCTCCTAAGCCCTGAACCCTAAACCCTAAACCCTAAACCCTAAACCCTAAACCCCTCAGTCCCTAGCGCCTCAAAGCAGATGACGAGGTCTGGCCCCGGGAGGGCCCGAAGCCTGGCCAGGAGGAGCCTCTTACGTACCCAAACCCCCAAAAGGGTTTAGGGTTTAGGGTTTAGGGTTTAGGGTTTAGGGTTTAGGGTTTAGGGTTTAGGGTCTAAAAAATAGATCCCCTAATAAGGGGGTTCCTATAAAGTACCCTTTAGTAGTTAGGGTCCCGAATTAGGGGATCTATTTTTTAGATCCTTTTGGGAGACTGGGTAGGGCTTCTAGGGGTTTTTGGTCCTTTAGGGTCTGGGCTTAGGGTTTAGGGGTTTAGGGTTTAGGGTTTAGGGTTTGGGGGTTTTGGTCCTTTAGGGTCTGTAGATCATCATTGGGGTTTTTGCAAGTTGCTTTATAGGGGGGTTTTAGAGTCTCTAGCTGATTTATTGTGAATGTTCTGAACGCTTTGTGCTGAAAGTATGTCGGCAGGATTCAGAAAGGTTCTCGCGTGTGTGAAGCCTTGGATTTGGTTTTCGTTCGTAGGATTTTCAGGGTTCTAGTGGGTGTTTGGGTTGGCAGGTCTGTGTGGTGCTAGGGCTTATGGGGTTTGCAGAGTGTCAGGGTTATGGGGGGTGCTACAGGTTTCGTTTCAAGCTTTAGAGTTTCGTGGGAATCGGCTCGTAGGATCTTAGAAGGATTTTTGGAGTTTCATAGGCTTGCTATTTAGGGCTGATATAGAGTTTGGGAATGCAAGCTTGTGGACCCCAAACCCCAAGCCCTAAACCCTAAATCTTGTGCCTCCAACCCTATAGGCTCAAAACCTGCAGCCGTAAACCCTAAACCCTAAACCCTAAATCCAACCCTATAGGCCCTAAACCTGCAGCCGTAAACCCTAAATCCAACCCTATAGGCCCTAAACCTGCAGCCGTAAACCCTAAACCCTAAACCCTAAACCCCTAAAGGTTTGTTGCAGCGCCACCGTCTTAAACATGCACCCAGAGACTCCGATACCCCTTAATTAAGGAATATACTTTAAATCATAATAGGACCCCTAATATGATTTAAGGTATACTCCTCAATTAATGGGTATTGGAGTCCCTGAGAACATGCAGCTGGCAGGGCTTTACGCAGCAAGCATCCCGCTGCCTTGCCCGAGCCTCAGCAGGGGACTTTCGGCTTGGGCTTAGGGGCGTTTCCCAGAGACTCCAATACCCCTTAATTAAGGAATAGACCTTAAATCATATGAGGGATCTTAAGGTATATTTCTTTAATTAAGGGGTATTGGAGTCTCTGGGTTCGGGAGGTTTGGCATTTAGGGTTCAGGTGTGCTTTCGTGGCCGCCGTTCTTGTGGCGTCATGGCTGCTGTGCTGCTGGTGCTCTGTTGCTATGTGGCTTGCGAGTCTAAGTGCAGTTTCTGCCGCAGCCACCGGGTCTCCACTTACCGCTGCGACGATTGCCACTTCGATGCTGATCATAGATGCCAATGCACTTCGTACTTTTTTTTTGCAGCTGTTTTTGCCGTTGTTGCTGGTATCACCGCGACTCTGGTGTTTTCTGGGGCTTGAGTCCAATATTTCCAACCGAAAGAAACTCTTCAACATTCGCCAGCCCGCGAATCTTGAAACCCTCAGCCCCAAACCCCAACATCAAAAAATGAAGCTTTGAAGCGTACTAGAGCGGTTTAGGGTTTAGGGTTTTGGGTGAAGGTTTGAAAGCTTTCCAGCACGCATACCAGCCGACACCCAATTCCAAATCCAGGCAACTTCACGCCCTGAATCTGCAAAGCCCACAGTCTCAGCCGAAACTCTACACCCCAGATGTCCAAATGCAAGCATCAAGATCATTGATAATCGATTGTAGTATCTTCCGGCTCTGAACTGCTCTATAATCCGCAGAAGCTTGATGACAAGCAGGATAATCACAGAGCAAGAGCTACATGATAGTGCTGATCGTGCAATTCCTTTCTGCGGTGACGCATTGTTGTGGCGGCTGCTGCTGTTGCTGCTTCCTCGCCTTGTGCTGCACCTATTCCTATTTATCTGCATCCTGCGACTGCTTCTACGCTAAAAAACCCAGTAATCCTGGGGACTTCAGTCAGTGTTGTTTTTGAGAGCTGTGGCTTGTAAGGAGCTGTGGTTCTAACGAACCCAGAGGCTCCAATACCCCTTAATGAAGGAATATACCTTAAATCATATTAGGGATCCTATTCTAATTTAATTAAGGTATATTCCTTAATTAATGGGTATTGGAGTCCCTGAGAAGTTTCCAGAGCAGTGGCAAAGTTAAACCCTAAACCCTAAACCTTAAAAACTAAACCCTAAACCCTAAACCTTAAAAACTAAACTCTAAACCCTAAACCCTAAACCCTCAACCGTGGCAACAATCAGAAGGAAGCCGCTCAAGCACTGCTCCGAGCAGGTTTCGGATTTGGGGTCTCAGAGGTTGAGGGCTTTACTATAAGTTACAATAAAGGTTACCCTAAGTGTTACTATATGGGTTACTGTAAGGGTTACTATAAGGGCTTTATAGAAGTAAGGGTATTACGTAGAAGGTTATCCTAGTCTTTGGAGCGCTGCAGGCTCAAGCGCGCCTGGGCACTCAAAGAAGCCCTTTTGCTGGCCTGGGAATGCGGCTTCACCAGGCGGCCGCGGGAGGGTCGAAGAGAGACTTGCATTGTTGAAGAGTGGAGTAGGCTGTCCAGCGAAGCATGTTGTCTCCATGCTGCTTTTGTGGAGCCAGTCTCAAAATCATGCCACTGAACTCAGAAGCACTTGACTGGGCCCCAACCGCACCAAGATTTGTGTTGGGAGGCTCTTCTTCGGCGATTGTGAGGTCTTGAGGAACTTGTTGACACCGGTTCTTGAGGCATGCTCCGCATGGTGTTGTCACATGTTCGCCCTTCTTGGGCGTGGTGACGATTGTTTCAATTCAACCCGAGACCCAAAATGCCTGAACCCTACACCCCAACTCCCCTAGATCCGAAACCCGCAATCCGTACACGCGCACACACACACACACAAAATATCCTAAACCGTAAACTGCGAATCGAACCCGCCAGGAGTCCGCCTCCTTCCTCTTGCACCCAGACAGTCCCGTGGAGAGACTCCTCGTGGACCACGCCACTGGAACTGGCAAGGTGTCTAGTCGAATCTGTAGGTTTTGGGGCTCTCCTATACAGTTCTATCAGGTGATACAGAAGTTCTAGAAGGGTTTCATAACGTGTAAGGGCAAGCCTGACTGACGAGAACTGCTGCTGATGAGAGTACCCGGGATCACATTCTCTCGTGCAGACTCTGATCATGCTCCGTATGCTGGACAACTACTTCGATGACCCACGCCCGAAGGTCGGGACACTGTCACAGGGCTGCCTGGATTCCAGCTTTTTATTTTGCCGGTTATCGCAATCAGTGTGGTTTCGGAGTAGGGCTGGAGCAAAACGTAAACCGAAATAGCAGTAGTAGCAGTAGCAGTAGCGGTAGCAGTAGCAGCAGCAGTTGCAGTTGCTGTTGCAGTCCTCAGCAGTAGTAGCAGTAGCAGTAGAAGTAGCAGTAGTAGCAGTAGTAGTAGTAGTAGTAGTAGTAGTAGTAGTACTACTACTACTAGCAGTAGTTGTAGTAGTAGTAGTAGTAGTAGTAGTAGTAGTAGTACTA